CAGGTGATTGCTTTCTGGCGACCACAACTGCGTACAATGTACCGCGTAATAAGAGTGCTGACCAAGAGATATCCTCAGCGAAGGGTTGGCAGTGTGATGTCATCTACAGGCCTTAATGACCCGGAAAATCTTCTTGTCGGTATGAGTTTGCAATGAAAGCAGTAATTTGGCCATGTTAGGATGTTCATTGCTACGAAGCTGTATACGAGCAAACATCTTCCTTTGCATCGCCAGCAGTTACGTTAAAATGCACTTCGTTCAATCGCCCTTTCGTTAGGATGTGCGCAATAATACGTGGTTCCAACGGGATAATTTTGTTCAACAAGCTAGAAAAAAAACATTATCATTGATTGCTCCAAGAAACCTTTGTCTGAATATGCGTACTGGCTGTCTTATGTTACTAATGTATCTCTAAGCATCTTACCCTCTCCGTCCCGTCTGCAGTGCAGTTCAGGTGCCTGAACAGGCTCAAGACAATGTTTTGTCTTTCGAGTGGCACGAGCACCGTGTCGTGCTCTGGTCCTTCTTTTTAAGCACTTACGATCAATCACTTACTTTGTTTTCTAAAAATTTAGAAATTAATGATTAAATACCGAGACTAGTACGAAATCGATAGTTCTGGTTCTAGTTATGTTGGATGCACATGATATCGTAGAATGTGCTTACCTGAGATAACACCAATTTAGCTTTCAAAATAACTACTGAAAATTAACTGCAGGGATTAATTGAAAGGGTTCATGGTTTTCTTGCAAGCAGCTGCGATCATTGCGACACCTGGCGGAGCTGATGTCATCCACACGCTTCTTTCCACGTGGCCTCCGAGATATTCTTTGGCAGCGTGCCGAGCACAAAGTTAACCCAAGGAATACATCGTAGCACACGGCGTGCGATTGCCCCTACCAGCCGCATACGTCAAGGATTAGGGTCAACTACCATTTCCTTTCTCACACTCACCTAAAAAAATGAACGCTAGTACTGCGTTCGAAGGGATTCGATCCCGCGACCTGCGGGCCAGCAGACGGGTACCTTTGCCAATAGACCACTTCGGCGGCGCTGATCCAACAGATCAGTGTGTCACTTCTTTTTACTAGCTCATGAAGCTTAATAAGACGTTTTCTGTGACAGATCGAACCAAAAATTTTGGCCTAACCTACATATACAGCGCCCAGCTGTTCTAGACTATTCAGTACAGCAATGTCATGCGGAAGATCGGTGGGTTGCGTAATTCTCCAGAACCTGGTCGAAAACCGTGCTTGCCGGACAAGATCACATTATTCTCATTAATACTTAGCAGTGTGTGTGTGTGTGTGTGTGTGTACACAACATGTTCTAGTAACTGACATATGGTAGATAACAGTATATGTGAGTAGTAAACATTATTCACTTGCTACCGGACTTGAAGACGGAGATGCAGTTAGCTGTTGTCCATAAGCTAGGGTTTGTAGACGCGTCTAAAAATACTTCCTTAAGATGAATAATAAATAACCTGGATTCCACTCAAGCTATAGTTTATGAATAATGTTAGTAATATTGTTAGGACCATTGCTTTGGTCGTGTTGAATTTCACTGAAAGGTTATATGCACCTATATATATATATATAAAATGTCGGGGAGCCCTGGGAAGGATGGAGGGCTAGAAGATGGAGTGTAGCCATCGTCATCGACGAAAATGGATTCGAAGAAGTTATGGAACGCTTTGCAGATGCAGAAAGACTCAGAAGAGGGGACACCATCAATAAGGATTGACGAAGATGTAGAGTGTGCATGATTGATTGTTTCCAAGGACAGTAAAGGTGGTTATGCTTGAGAGCAGTGGACAGGGTGACGTGGTGTAGCAGAAGTGTTCTGCCTCGTAGATTTTGACCTTTATTGCGCTTTGAAGACTGACCAAAGGATGGTCTTTGTGAATGTTTTAACGAACATATTTAACAAGGCGCAAGAAGTGGATGATTTCGTGATTGTATACCATGGAGAGCAATCGTTACGCGTTACACAATCCGTAGGAGCATTTCTGATGATACAGCTTGGAACACTACTTTGAAACATGTTGTTCAGAGAGGCAACGTTACACTAGGAACTACAATGCAAAAGAACGTCGTACGTAGAAGCAAACACATTCGCAATAGACGCGTCATTTACTTTGGTGAAGCTTGGTACGTACTTATACACCGGATATGTCTGCTAACATTCACACTAGCCATCACCACCCCACGATCAGGCAAGCAGTCATTGATGTAGCATTGGTGTTCATAACGAAAAACTCTTCGTTAAAAAAAAACAAGGTCTAAGACAGAATTCTCGCGTGTTGGACAGTTAACAAGTTGGGTCGTAAGAAAAGGACACAAGTCTCAGGCTGTGCCGAGAAGGGCTGCAAACTGGCGCCTTGAAGTTAATGGTTGTTTTCAGCCTATATCGTGTGGAAAGGCAAAAGCACGTGAGAAACATTGTACGTTGTAAAGTCACTGCAGTGGGTTCTGTTAGGACTTCCAGCTATTGAAGCTCTTGGCGTGGTCAAATTTTTTGATGAGGTTGAAGATAAACAGTACGAATACAGTGTCAATTTTTCATGAAAGGCCACACGGGAGCGCGTGGCCTGTGCACTCCGGCAGCTGCGGGCAGCGCGTTCAGGCTGGAGCGAGAGCAACCACAGTTGTTTTTTTCGCGCTATCTCGCGGCGAGCAAAACAATTGTTTGTTGCTGACATAGAACGACAAGATTGCAACACCTCCCCCTTCAAGGCGATTACGCGAGAGCTCGTAGTCGCCTTGAAGAGGGCGGGGGTGGCAATCTTGCCGCTGGTTCTATATCAGCAAAAATTGTTTGTTTTGCTCACCGCGAGATGCCGCGAAAAAAGACTGTGGTTGCTCTCGCTCCCACTTGAACGCGCTGCCAGCAGCCGCCGGAATGCGCAGGCCACGCATTCCCGTGTTCCCTTTCCCAAATATTGACACTGTACATGTATCCGCAGCTCTTTTTTGGTTTGGGCACGATGTCTGGGGTATACACTATAGTTGCATGAAGCAAGGAGAGATTTCCTTCGCGAATTTCGCACCATGGTGGATACCAATCCCGGTAAAGAAGTCTATCAAAGTACAGTTGGCCAAAAGGGTCAAAAGCCACGTCATTGGGAAGGTTGACAGTCCGACTAAATGATGTGCAGGAATAGTTCTCGCGGCCAGCCCTCCTTGTCGGTGTTTTTAGGCTACGTGGTTGATGCCTGCGGAATGAAGCCGTATCCTAAGAAAGTGCTAGTCATAAACTAAATGCATACGCCATCTAGTGTTGATGACGTCCGCAGCATTTTAGGCGTGATTAACTCTCTGGCAAGGTTTGTGAGCAATCTGGCTGACGTATCGGCACCACTGCGCAGTCTTCTCGTTAAAGACCGTGAGTGGCACTGGGGTCCACCTCAGAAAAAAATAGTTGGAGTGTCTACCTCTGCGCAATGCATCGCGAAATTCGACTCTAAGCTGCACACGATTCTGTCCGCCGACCCTTCGTCATTCGGTCTTGGCTGTGTGCCCATGCAAGTGCAGTCAGATGGCAAAAGGCGGTCGGTTGCGTATCAATTTTGTTCATTAACACCAACATAACAACGGTACGCGCAAATAGAAAAAGAAGCGCTTGCGCTGACGTGGGCGGCGGAACGGCTGGAAGGTTTCTTAGTAGGGCTGGAATTTCAATTTCAGACCATCCACAAACCCCTCGTATTCGCACAGCCACCCTTTGATGTGCTCCTTCCTGGAATACACATTCCGATTGAGGTTCATGTGATTTCGATTTTCAGTCTCTTACGTCCCTGCTGGAATGCAGATTGGCGCCACCGACGCCCCTTCTCGGGCACCTTGTGCGGAATAAGGTGTAGAGGAGTGCGAGTTAGATTGCAGCGAAGTATCGAGCCATGCAGAAGGTTGTGTCAGTGAATTGAATTTTGCGGCACACTGGAACAAGATAAGGTAGGGGCAAAATATACCACACTTACAGACAACTTCAGTTGTACAGCCGGGGCCATGTCTGTGTAGAGCATGCGAACACCGGGTTTTTAGCCGCCGGCTTGAAAGCTTGAGGCCCTTTCGGGCTCTGAAGTGGTGTATCAGGAGCATGCGTGGTCTAGTTGTCAGGCTGGCCACGTCAGAGCCTAATACTCCCTCAAGGTTTCGAGCCCCAGAGAAAACCCAACGGCTTGCGTGCTTACACAGACGTGGCCGCGGCTGTACTGTAGGGAGGGCTGGCCCCGTCGTGATAAAGTGAGAAGTTGGCTGAACCCTTCTTTGTCAGAAAGAGCAAATCTTACAATATGTGACGGTGTGCTCCTACAAGGATTTTGCCTCGTCGTGCCTCAGAAAGTAATAAGCGAAATACAGTCGGGTGTGGTTTGAAGGTTATCACGCGAGCATCGACCGGTCAAGCATTCAGAGGCCCTTGCGGGACGTTTAGAAAGAATAAAAATCAAAATTTCGCTTTCTTCTCTCCCTAGTTGGCTGTTCTATGCTACGACAATCACCCCATTGACGAACTCGTCCCGCCCCCCTTTCTCTCTATTCTAAGTGTTTCATTCTCTATTCTAAGCGTAACTTGGTAGGCTGTTATCTTTCCGCACGACAACAACGTTGGTGGGAAAGCTCTTGTCAACCTTCATTTGAGTGACGTGCTATGTTGCGCAAAATATAAGCATCGCATTGTAATACTGACTTCACCAGCCAATAGAATTGTGCCGAATGTTTTCGCACAGGGGTGTCAATGCTGCAATGCTGGATGTGACCCCAGACCACTTGTTGCAAGAAAATGCCTCGACGACATACATTAGAGGAACGCCGTCAAATTATTTCTTTGGGAAGGTTTATGTCCCAGCGAGAGATTTCCCGTAAGCTGAACCGGCCACAGAAGACAATCAACCGCATTCTTCGAGCATTTTACCAGGAAAACCGCTTTGAAGATGCACCACACCAAAGGAGGCCTAAAAAACAACTGAGGAGGAAGATGCCTTGATAATAGCTGCCATGGCCAAAGACCCTTTCTCGACAACAAAGAAAATTAAAGAAGAGCTTGGCCTTTCCCTCAGTCTTTCGGCTATCCGAAGAAGACTTCGTGCTGCCGGTCTGAAAAGCCACGTGGCGGCTAGAAAGCCGCTTTTGACTAGTGAACTTCGAAGGAAACGTTTGGACTTCGTGCGTCAGCACGAACGTTGGAGGGCTGAAGACTGGCAGCAGGTCATCTTCAGTGATGAATCGACATTCACCTCTTACTGGAATCAGTGACTTTGTGTTTGGAGAGTCCGTGGCAGCCGGTGAGGTTTATATTGCTTGTGTATCATTTCACACAGACAGAGCGGTTCGGCACCGCTCTTAGGTTTAGGAGCGTACTCATAATCATCATAATCCGCAGCAGCATCACCCTGACTAACCTAACTGCAGCAAAGATCTCTCCCATACTACTCCAGATAACCCGGTTCTGTTGCCGGCCATGGTCCCGTAACTCCCTCGAGCTTCTTAATCTCATCCGTCGAACTGATTTTCTGCCGTGCCGAGCTGTGCTTGCCTTTTCTTGCAATCCACTTTGCTACCAATATTACAATTGATTATCCTTCTCTCTCATTTCATGTTCGGCCCACTTCCACATTACGATTAGTCAGTAACTCACGTTTTTCTCTGACCCACTATGCCATTTTCGTGGCTCGACGAAAGGGTTTTTGCATAGTTACCGCGCTGTGAATGTTTTGCGTAGAAAACGAATTTATCGCTTTTATTGCAGGTACGAGCATGAAAACATTCCCAGTGTCGGTGCAAGCGGGCGTGTATCGGTCAACGTCTGGGGCGCAATAACATATGCCGGTCTGGGCCCGCTCTTCCGCATCCCCGAAGACTTACGGCCGAAATCTACAATGAGATCTTCGACGATGTTCTCCTACCTTTCGCCATCGATGAACCATTTCCTGACGGATTCTTTTATTTCCAACACGATGGCTGCCCTGTTCACAATGCATCCACAGTGCAAGAAAATTTAAATGCTTCTGGCATTGCACAGCTCCGCTGGCCTTCTAAAAGCCCCGACCTCAATATCATCGAGAATGTTTGGGGACTAATGAAGGCACGATTGGCTCGTGCCAATTTGACAAACAATGACGCAGACACTTTGTGGAAACATGTTGAGATGGAGTGGAATGCTCTCAGACAAGACCCTGATTTGGTGAAATCTCTGTTTGCTTATATTCCGAAAAGGCTAAAGGACGTGAAGGAGAGCTCGGGCGGCGTATCGAAGTATTCATAAGGTTGTAAGCACTAAATGTGCTGTAACAGTGAGTTTAGAGAGACCCCCGAGTTTTTTCGTCTCCGAAAAGAATATTGCATATTAACTTCTGTAGTGTCTGCAAAAACATCTCATTTTCAGGTGTTCCTAAATTTGTTATGATGATATAAGATAAGTCATGCTCTCTCGTCCGAAAATTGCGTTGCTCTGAGTCCCTCAAACTTCTCGACGACCAGGAACCAAAAATAAATAATGTTTCAAACAATCCTTCTCTCTATTTTTTTGTCAAGTACGCAACTCTGCGTAACAAAAAGCAAAATTAAAACTGAAGAGAGCCCGCACCTTATGTAGTCATCAAGGGCAGTGTTTGCCACGACAGCAGTGACTTAATGCACACGCTAGATGCAGCCTTCATGCCGTCCGGTTACTGATAATAGCGAAGCATGCGTTGCAAGAAATACCATCCCCTTCTATTATCGGAAGCCAGTAAAGAAAAAAAAGAGATAAAAAAACACCTTCGTCTGACGGGAGTTACCTCAGCTTCAGGAACAGCAAAGAGAGTGAGAGAAGCTTGCCTACTGCTTCCCTCTCCCGAAAAAAGAATTCTGGGCCGTGGCGCTATTCTCGCTCTTGGTCGACGCTCGCGTGATTACCTGCATATCGCACCCAACTGTAATTTGTTTTTTGCATGGGGGTCACCAGGGCAATGTGAAATGTTGTGCAAGGGCCCGAGAATCTGTATGGTGGCCCGGTTTCAGCACCGAGCTGGTTGCTTTGGTTAACAGTTGTCGGGAGTGTGCGAGGCTGTGCGTTAAAAAAGTCGAGCCCATGATATCATGCGATTATCCTAGCTTGCTTTGTTAGAAGGTTGGAGCTGATCTTTCCCATTTGCCGGTAAAAACGTACCTTGCAATCACAGACAATTTTTTGAGATATCCAGAGCTCTCCCTGTTGTCTTCCACGAGCTCTGCGGTGTTTATTGTTGAAATCAAGGGTATTTTTGCTCGGCATGGGATCCCAGAACAGGTCGTAACAGACAACGGTCCTAGATTCGCATTTGCAGAATTCGTGCTCTTGGCAAAATTTATGGCTTCCGTCACGTCACATCCAGTCCCAGGTACCCGCAGTCAAACGGAGAAGCCGAACTTACAGTGCAGACGGTAAAATGGGTGTTGGAAAAATCTGCTGATCTTTACCTGGCCCTTCTAGCATACAGGGACTCCCCTGGTCCCTTGGATACAAGTCCAGCCCAGCTGCTGATGGGCAGGTGGTTACGTTCTACGGTCCCTATACACCCGAAAAAACTTGTACCATCAAAAGTGAGCAGTCTTAGAAGCCTCCGATACAAGGACAAGATATTTCGAAGTAAGCAAAGACTCAACTACGACCGTCTTCATGCTGTAATTCCGTTACTACAACTTGTCCCTGGAATTCAAGTACGGGTAATAGACAGCGGAATCCCAGCAACGGTTCTCAGTCCAGCCCAGCGGCCTCGGTCGTTTCGGGTGCGGACAGACGACGGGACCGAGGTAGAGAGAAATAGAAAGGCCGTGGTTCGATACAGTGAGTGAACCTGTGCGCATGAGCCGTCTTATGACTTTCCCGCGAATCTGAACGCTGTAGGACAATCCGAATAACACAAGTCCTCGCAGAACATTCTACGGCTTGCTTGAATAGCAGGAGACCTGGTCATCATGCGAAACGCTATGGTCGAGAAATAAGGCCACCAGAGCGATACAGCTAAACTTGAAACTTGCAGCATACAGTTCTTTTATGTTGCAGTTCATACTGCTTTGTTTTTTTGCTTCCTTTGTGTTGCAATACTTCCTCATAAAAAGGAAGAATATAGTGTTAATATTATTGTTGTTCAGGCCAAGCACTGTGCTGCTTATGACGTCACTGGTGTAAAATGATAAATAGTGGCTGTCGAATAAACGCGGGGTTCTTTGGAGTCAGTGACTTCAAAGTGGCGTGTGTCTTTCAATCGCATCGTACCGCTCGGCTTAGAGCGGATACAACAGTGGTGTGGTGGTTCGCGCCGATGGCTGCGGAACGAGAGGTCGCTGATTTGACGGCCCATGGCAGAACGTTTCCATTATCAGTCTTGATCATCAGCATAAAAATTGCATTCCTTTTTGCCGCATTAATGTTTTTTTTCAGACTCTTCTTTACAAAAAATGAGTGCTAAGTGGAACCGTCTTTCCCCCTCCATCGCCTGCATCGAAGGCACTTCATCATACAAAGTTCCACTAAACGATTACCTCTTCGGCCTGTCGTAGCTTAGTTTGTTTGAACATGTATTTTCATTTATATGTGGCATTTTTATGTTGTGTTTTTCGCATTTTTTGGTTTTGTATTCCCCTCCCCTCGGTGTAATGCATTTTTGTGCCCGGAGGGTAACATAAGTGAAATGAAATCTGGGTTATTTTCTTAGCAATCTGTTATTAAACATTTTAAAACGTCATATCTGGGACGAAAATACGTCAGGGGAGCCGTGGTGGAGCATTGCGATACTGCCTAATGAGAGCACTGAGCGCAGCTGTTCAGGTGTTTTATTTTTGCTGTTAATTGAGTAAATCCGCATGCATCAAAGTGGCGTGACACAGTGTGAGTGGGAGTATACAGAACTCTCGGTTTTCGTGCCAACATAAAGTGGTGGATGTAGAGTCACCAACGTCAGACACGGCTGGCCGACGCAGACGTTGTGCCGAATTATGAAGGGCCTTTGAAAGACCCCTGAATCATCCAGAGTTAAAAGATGGGACAATTTTTTTTGTTTTCTTGCCCTTTCTACAGATGATATCAACTTCTTGCCACTTATTCAGAGAACACGTCTGTGATATTAGCATCAAGCGTTGAGCCTATCGAGCTTTCGCTCTTTTCGGCTACACGCTGTTTACCTCCGTTTGTGCAATCAAAAACACACAGAACGTGAAAAATTGAGTATCTCGCTCACTATGGCTAATGCACGAAAAAGTCAAACGTACGTGCGAATGTGTGGGAAAATAAGGTAAGAGGCAATTCACAACTGATATGCACCGTATATGAACCAATCCCGAGCTTATTTTCTCATGGCGTCGCGTGCATAGGCAGCTGCGTCACGAATTGCGCACAAAGAATGGAAAACAGCAGGTGTGAATAACGCGCTCGTTCTGTGTATTTTTCGGAAGCTGTTTAAGGGCCTTTAGAGATTCCGCAATAGATAGATAGATATGTGGGCTTTAACGTCCCAAACCCACCACATGATTATGACAGATGCCGTAGTGGAGGGCTCCGGTAATTTCCACCTCCTGGGGTTCTTTAACACGCCCCTAAATATGAGCACACGAGCCTACAGCATTTGCCCACCTTCGAAAATGCAGTCGCCACAGCCGGGATTCGATCTCGTGACCTGCGAGTCAGCAGCCTAGTACCTTAACCGCTAGACAAGCGCGGCGGGGGAATCTGCGAAAGCGCGCTGCAAACAAGCTTGTGTCCCATCCACCAATGACCCACCGTGGTGGTCTAGTGGATAAGGTACTCGGCTGCTGACCCACAGGTCGCGCGATTGAATCCAGGCTGTGGCGGCTGCATTTACAATGGAGGCGGAAATGTTGTGGGCCCGTGTGGTTACATTTGGGTGCACGTTGAAGAACCCCAGGTGGTCGAAATTTCTGGAGCCCTCTACTACGGCGTCTCTCGTAATCATATGGTGGTTTTGGGACGTTAAACCCCACATATCAATCAGTTGATCCCTTAGAATAATGTCCTCCTTATTCTCCGAAGCTTCGGAGGGGTACCCACTTTCTCAAGCCCCTGCGTGAGATGCATGCGTTGTGCTGTCACAAGAAACGCGAGCAGGCACTTCAGGCGGCAACACAGCAGTTAGTTGACTTTCATAGTGAAAAACACTTTGCAGAAGTCTCTCTTTTGCTCTATTTAATCCTAACTTGCTCTGTTGGTTACACAGACAACGAATAACGTCGCCTAGGCTTTCCGTGCGTTGCTTTGATTGGTGAACTAAGAAATGAGTAACTCGACCAATTCACTTTTTTCAGGCCTCAAAAAGCTATCTGCGATCATGCTACCCGAGATACACATGAACAAACTTCAGATTTGATTGATATGTGGGATTTAACGTCCCAAAATCACCATATGATTATGAGAGACGCCGTAGTGGAGGGCTCCGGAATTTTTGACCACCTGGGATTCTTTACCGTGCACCCAAATCTGAGCAGACGGGCCTATAACATTTCCGCCTCCATCAAAATGCAGCCGCCGCAGCCGGGATTCAATCCCGCGACGCGCGGGTCAAATTTCAGATTTACACTGGCTGCTCAGCAAGTGTGGGTGAATATACGGAAGCTGTGACGTGTTCCGCATATGCTGCCACTGTGAAGCTGAACACCTTTTACCGCACAACTCTGACTACGGAGAACTTGTCACACTGCGCAGCGGACTTCACGTGATTCGTTTAGAATAATTTATGAAACGAATAACTAGTCCAAATGTCCTAAATCAAAAATTTATTAATCTGAGACTGTCAAGATACGCGTCCTTCGTCTCTCGACGCGCGTGGGACGCAGCAGTGCTGTTCTCCCTCAAGCGAAGTTTCGCATATTCATCACTTCTTCCAGTACTTCCATCCCTTAATCCCCTTCCCCAGCGTAGGGTAGCAAACGAGATGTGTGTCTCGTTCAGTCTTGCCGCTCGTTCATCCTTTCCTTCCCCGTTCTCACCCCACCACGGTAGTCTAAGGTACTCGGCTGCTGATCCACAGGTCGCGGGATCGATTCCCGGCTGCGGCTGCTGCATTTTTGATGGAGGCAAGAATGCTGTAGGCCCGTGTGCTCAAGTTTGGGTAAAGGTTAAAGAACTCCAGGAGGTCGAAATTACCGGAGCCCTCCACTACAGCGTCTCTCATATTCATATGGAGGTTTTGGGACGTTAATCCTCACATGTCAATGTCACGTCGTTCCCCGTTCTCCTCCTAATGCAGTCCTGCCCTGTATGCTACGCAATTTTTCACATCAGTCACATGTAGGACGGGAGCAAAAACTAGCAAATAGGTATCATCAGCCATCGGAGAAATGGCACGACGTCACTTTTCAGCTGCTTCTTCTAGGTCACTGTAACATCTTGGTCAACTAATGTGCTGATGCATATTTTGGTACTATGTACTCGTGAAAGTGGCACGCAGACTGAATTTAAGAATCAATAGATTCAATAATACGTGTGTTCTCGCAGATGCCGCGCGATCTTGGTACAACTACGGTACTCATCGGTTTTACAACCACAAATTAGCAACAAGGTTTCAAATACGAAGCATTTCTTAGCGAGCTTCGGTGACTTTGAGCGTATATATATCTATCTATCTATCTATCTATCTATCTATCTATCTATCTATCTATCTATCTATCTATCTATCTATCTATCTATCTATCTATCTATCTATCTATCTATCTATCTATCTATCTATCTATCTATCTATCTATCTATCTATCTATCTATCTATCTATCTATCTATCTATCTATCTATCTATCTATCTATCTATCTATCTATCTATCTATCTATCTATCTATCTACGACATTTAGCTCTCCTGGCCGTTTCGATAATGGTATCGATACCATTATAGGTATGGCAGAACATAACAGTATGAGGAGTATAAATCACTGGTCATAACATGAAAATCATGACATGTATGTCATTATTGTCATGATTTATATTTGATAGTCTTACTGATCGTGTGGTAGTTTTGTTCCCAAGACATTTCGCAAAACTGGTATGGTATGATATGACTGCATGGCTAACATAAGTGACAGACCCTAACTTGGAAATCATGGCACACATGGTATGATTTTTAGGTTATGACTTGTCATGATTACACGCCACGCTCATGGTGCGCTCACGGTCGTTTCGCTAGCTTCACACATACCAAATTCGGTATTACGAGATGTGAATGGATGACGAACATACATAACTTGTGCAATAACATGATAATCATTAGAATCGCGTCATGTAAGAACATGACTACATGCCGCTGCGATCGCTGCATTTCCGATGGAGGCGGAAACGTTGTAAGCCCGTGAGCTCAGATTTGGGTGCACGTTAAAGAACCCCAGGGGGTCGAAATTTCCGGAGCCCTGCAATACGGTGTTTCTCATAATCATATGGTGGTTTTAGAACGTTAAACTCCACATATCTATCTTGACTACATGGCACGCTCATAATGCGCTCATGGCCGTTTCACTAGCTTCATATTTACCAAATTTAGTATCACGTGACGTGAATAGACGACGAAGGTAAATGCCACGTCTAAAGCCTATATACATCATATG